CAGGGGAAAAGTGGGAGTTTATCATGTAGGGTAGCAAGTGCTCCCAATTGCAGTCCTAATAAGAAAAGGTAATTAAAATTTTACCAGATTTTTACTTATGTGCTTAGAGACCCATATGAGAGAGACAAGGTTGGAGAGGTAATACCTTTTATTGGACCAACTTCTTCAGCTCTCTGTAGCTCAAAATCTTGTATCTTTCACCAACAGAAGTTGGCCCAGTAAAAGATATTGCCTCTCTCTAATTGTCTCTCTAATACCCTGGGTCCAAGCTGACTACAAGAACACTGCAAATATATATATATATATATATATATACACACACACACACACGTATCAATGCTATATTATTCTAAAAGGGAAGGCTTCCAACATGCTTTGTTAGAAATTGTAGACAACCCATTAAAAACAGAATCTAAGGGAAGTCCGGAACATGCTAAAATTTTGGTATTTAACTAAGTTCTCTCCTTTGGTATATAAATGGCTACATTTCCATTGTTCTACCTAGGAGATGACTGGAAGGTGGGTGGGGGGAGGAATCATCGGTGGATCAGCTGCACAAAGTTTCCACACAGCTTTGAGTGCCAGATCTTCACCAGTCCCAATGCCACAGGGCAATCCTTCAAAGAAATACTGCTCCCATTTAACTGAGCTCAGCAGTTTGGAAGTTCACAGGGTAAGAAGCACTTGTCAACCTGAATATCTAGGTAAGTTTCTAATTACAACTGCCATTTCTGAGCTTAGTGCTGGAGGCAGCCATCTTGCTGAAGAGTGATATAATCTCTGACTCAAGTAGTGTAAGAGCTCAATGGAAGAGACAGGAAAACAATTTCCAACCTGATTTAATACAGGTTTGGGTTTAAGCACCATAAAGAGAACACTAATAATGACATAAAATACTTCATTTTAAAATATCATCCACTGTTTTCTTTGCACAACTGTTAACCCATTTAGAAAGTGCTTTAGGAAGTAGTTTACTGTCTCTTCCACTGGGCTTGCATGCATTTAGACTTTATCTGTGCTACGATTTCCTTCCTAAAATTTCTTTCAATTGCCACGAACAAGTTCAGTTCCATCTGATAGCAATGTCAGGAGCTCTACTGTGAAAATCACCAATGGAATTAGACGCAGTACTTAAAACCACCAACAGCAGCCTGTAGCCCTGTCTATACGAGAACTCCAATTACTACTGCCCCTGGTGGAGCTGGAGTGGTGGTGGCGATGGTGGGGAAATTCTAGGGAAAATGCCTGGTTTGCCACAGCCACAGGGTCACAGATTATATCACTTTTCAGCAGACTAGAAGCCTCTGGCACTAGACACAGAAATGTCCCATATATAATTAATAAACTCCCATTTCACAGTTTATTCTCGGAGATAGCAATAATATATTAATGATATTAACTTCTGTTTAAATAGTCACTTTCCGCTGAAGGATCCCAACTGGCTCTTCAGTGAGAGATACCTTAGAAGAAACATAGAGAGATACCACTTCAAAAAGTATAGACATAGAGCACCACTGAAATACAGCCACATTTGTGATGGAGGTCAGCAAAGAACAGGAGCACAGTTGGGGGAAGGCAAATTTTGCCAGAGATCTCATGCCTAACCCTTGCTATAACAGTACCAGGGATTTTTTAAGCTGTCATCCAAAATTGTTTTTCACCCTTACAATCTGGACTAAGGGTTCTTGGTAAAGGCTTCCTTTAAAGAACTCATTGTTATGATACTATTGTTTTCATTTTGGAGGTGTCTGAGGCACTATCCTGCATGTCTCAAGGTTTATAGGGGGTGCTATTTTTGATGGCATGGTTAATGTAACACTGTTTTTGATGGCCTATTCCACTTCACCCCATGTACCTGGATTAGTCTCCCTCGCCTTGTCCACCAAGTGACCTTACTATCCTTTTTCAGATCCCTAATCAAAATTCAGGTCTTCGGTCTAGCTAATGCCTGCTCTGGTGCTGCCTGCCGCTAGACTGATGCTTAAGCATTTAGGGCTCTATCAGACCTTCAGACCACGCTCCTGCATTACAGCTGTACTGTCTGAGTGGGAGGTCCAGTATGCTTGGAGTGGCAATTGCTGTGCCCCTAACGGGGTGCACTGCAATGTGTGCTCCTTTCTGTGGTCAGGCAGCTCTGCTGACCAGTAGAGAGGAAGGTAGCGCCATGGCTCCAATGCACCGAAGTCAGTGCAAAATTGCCATTGGCCTCAATAGAATGGTTAAGAGCCCTACATTGTAACTGTATTTCTTCAGGGCAGGGACCAGGACTTTTACTTGGTATGTAAAGTGCCTCACACATCACAGTCATTATATAAACAATAATAATAATGCTCAAACTGGAAAAAATATGGTGTGCTCCGACCATTCCACAGTTTATCCTTTTTTTATCAGGTATTAGGAGTAATGGGATGATGTTACCACCCACAGTACACCTCACTATTTGAGTTACTTGATCCCAGTTATTAGAGGATGCTAACAATTACCAAGTATGCTTGATACAGGAGAAATGCAAGGAGCCCTTTTGCTCACCAGCACAGCTGTGTGGAAAGTTGCAGCATTGCTGCAGGTAGCACAAGGGGAATCTGATACGGGTGGGGGATTCAGCTGAGTGTTTCTAAATTAATGGGTGTCGTGGTGACTGGCTCTAGAAGAAGCTTTCTCTCTTTTTTTCCATTGGGGGGAGAGAGAGAAAAATACACCTTGTAAATTATCACTGTATGTTTTTATGCCCCTGACTGCTTACCCAATGTACTGCACTCAACAGGACACACATGCTATCAACATCCTGGTATTTTTTCAACTTCACCTTGAAATTTCTTGCACTTCAGTGCCACCCACAATTAACAATCAAGAAACATGCATTCTTTTATTCCCACATCCAGCATTCCCCCCTCCCCCGCCACACACACACCCCCCCCCTCAGCCACCAACAGACTTTCTTACCAAGCGCCAACCACTTAATGGAAATAAGAGCTGACTTATTCTACAGTTTCTTGAATTCTGTGGCCTGGAAGGACTTGTCCTCCAGCCTAGTAAACCAGACAGCAGTTCCAGCCACTGTCCTGATTCTTCCCAGTGCTGAGCACATTCAATTCCCACTGAAGATTGGAAGCTGAAAGCACTCAGCACCTCACAAGTGGCTTTCCGCATCTCTGAAGATCAGGCACTGAAGTCAACAGAAAGGAGGATGCTCAGAATATTGCACAATCAGGCCCTAATCCTGCTCCCATTGATGCCAATGACAAAACCCACATAATCTTCAGTGGGGCAGGATTGGAACCTAAATAATGAGCTATCCTTATTCATGAGAAATCCAATCCAGGAATGAATTAGTCCAGGGAATTAGTGCCTGAAGGTGATAGGATTTTTGATGGTGAAACTGGAGAACATTCTATTTCTGTTTGATGCTTAAACATTTAGGGCTCTATCAGACCACTCTCCTGCATGACAAAGGCACTAACCTAAATTTTTCAAACTTGGACACCCAAAGTTAGTCACATAAATCCAAATATGAAACCTACATAACTCCATCCGTATTGGCAATTCTAGGACCCATAATTCACCACCGTTGGAACTCATCCATGCTAGCAAGGGTGGTGGCTGTGGTGTGTCATCCAACACCTCAGGGGATGAACAGCTGAAAAGTGCAGAAGGTTATTGTGTCAGGGAGAGAGTGTTGAACAGAACACATTCTGCACCCTGGACATTCCCATGGCCTCTATCTCCACTGGCCAGCAATGGGGTGAAGATCACACTTCACCCTCTTGATTAATGTTGTAATGGCTGTTCTTCCACTGTGTGCCAGGAAACTCCAGGAGGCATTGTGTCCCTTAGCAACCTCTGCCCTGCTTTCACAGCATATGCCATAAAGCAAAATCCATCCCTATATTTCAGAGCAGCATTTTCATTGTGCAAGCTGAGTGTCTAAACAACTACAGCTCTGGTATCGCTCCCCTCTTTGACTTGGGGCAAGTCACAAAGGGCTGGATTTTGTGTTCTCTTCTGTTCGCTTTGTGTCACTCAGGCAGCACAGACAATTGACATACCTGACTAGTAAAGAATTTCCCCTGCGTTGTGGATCTCTCCAGGGGTGACAGAACCAGCTTCTGCAACAGCTTCCCCACCTTCCCTTGGCCATTGCCTAGGAAGAGGGATACAGGAAGGACTTGTGTTGGAGCTGATCTGACTTCCTCCAGGACCAACTGACGTGGATCGAGGAGCTGCATGATTTCCCTGATGCCTCTCCTCTGCAGCCAAGCTCCATTTGGGTGAAGTGGAGAATCCAGGCCATTGAAGTCCCATTAAAATCAACAAGACATGAGCACATGCTTAATGTTAAGCAGATGTTTAAGTGCTTTTTTAAGACAACAGCCCATTAACCTCTCTGATCATCTGTAAAATAGGGATAATAATGCTTCCCTATCTCTCAAGGGTGGTGTTAAGAATAATTGGTTAATGTTTTTAAACTGCGTTGAAGAATAAAAGCACTGTAAAAGCACTGTAAAATGCTATGCAGATTTGCTTAGTCCTAGACTTAGAGAGGTGTGTGTTGCAGGGGAGGGGGAGTTTATTTATCTTTTATTCCCAAAAATGTTCATTGCTTAAATCTTTTCTTTATGTTGGCAAGCGAATATGTAATGTAGGTATTTCACTGTGGAAGCACACCTGTTTCTTAGCTGGTATTAGAAGCAGAAAGGCCTTAGCTTTCTAAATGCTGACACATTTGCATCTATAAGAAGAAACAGACAGAATGGAATATAAAAGATTAAAAAAGGAGGGAAATCTGAATTTTTCAGTGTGTAGTTAATGCTGTTCCAAAAAAGAGGAGAAAAGATCCATTGTACATTTCCAGCAGAAAGTTTTACTTTTCCTTGATGTCCAAAACATCAGCTGGTTTCAGTCCAGCATAAGAATGCTTACACAATAGGGCATTTTTAATTGGTCATTTAAGCTTAAATTGGCTACATTATTATGCTAATTAAATTATTTTCCCTTTTCAGGGGCCTCAGGGACCTCCAGGACAAAAGGTATAGTATAAACAACAATACTGTGAAAGTGATTATACTTCCTAGTGCCAAATTGCAAGCAGGAGAGGTGAATGGAATTAGCTACTGTACACCACATTGAAGCAGTTAGTTTAGTCTGTGAATTTTGTTTTCCGAAAATACAACTACATAATGTGAGACACAGGATTTCTAATTTTGCCCATTATAGGAAATTCAAGCAATGCAGAGCAGACTGTTTTCAATCTGTCTGCTGAACTTGCAGGTTAAAAGGGCACTATAATTTTCTTTATTCAAGTACTGTATAACTATGAAACCAAACTTGAAACACTGTAAAAGGTGGGGGATAAAGTTTCAAATTGAATGCATGTCTTTACTCAAGTAGATCAGTGCCATATGACCAAAAAAGTGACCAGAAGAAATAAAGGATGTAGGTGTTGCTGATAAATGGTGTTTGGTTGGCTGTATTCAGGTGGCCTGCCGGTGTCTTCCTATTTCTATGGTAACCTGACAACTGACTTCCTGTGAATGCTTTCAGCATTATTTACACTCATTAGGACTGACTGCTGCAGTTTGATGGAATGAACCAAGGATTTATGGGATTGAACCATCAGAACAATACTAAATATATCGGTAATAAAAACTAGTAGGCTGCACTTTGCCAGTGTGTGACCCAATTATCATGAAGGCCAAATTGTTTGAAAAGTGATTTCAGAAGATAAACAATATTGTCAAAGATGTTTAAGAAAATTCATTTAATGATTTAAAATTATCTAGAGAAAACCTAAAAGAATAATTATCCTTCAGAGGTGGGAATGATATTATCCCCTATTTTTCTGTCCCTGAGACTGTCACAGGCACAGCATTCTTTGAAATCTGGGTTGTTTGGCATTGGTTAAAACAAAACATTTCAAACAAAAGAAGGTAAAAGCTATGAAGATGTAACGGCTTGATCCTGCACCATTCAAGTCAATGGGAGTTTTCCCACTGACATAAATAGGAGCAGGATCAAGCCCTAGGACTAAGGAGAGGAGCGTTGTATGCTTAGCAATATAACCTCTGATAGACAGTGTGTGAAATTGTAAAGCTGCCCTAGTCCCCATGTTGCCATTTTAAAACTACTCCTTCAGACTTGGGAGGTACTTTAATAGCATGCTTAACATCAGCAAAGCCTTTCTTTCTTTTTTTTTTTTTTTGGATATTAGAAAATCTGAGATCCTTTTGCATGATTAAGCATATGCTAATTTTAAACCTGTTTTATTTATGCATGTCAGCATCTTATAAGAAAAATCAGCAGATATCAATAAGGGAACAGTCCATACTAAAAAAAACAGTTTATCAAGAGCCTGATGGCTTACCTCCCTTCTGAGCCTGTGTGTTGCCCTCTGTTTTTTGGGAGGAAGAACAAGAATATGTGACTGTTCACTAATGCCCCCTATTCCTGATTAGCATTCATGGGCTGCTTGCATCAAGCAACAACAGGGCTGGTACAGACAATGCTACCAAGTCTGCATCCTTCGGGGGCCTCCAGGTCCTGAAGGCCTCCCCACATCCCTCCAGCAGGGAAAAGGGTGAAATGCTCATTTGATATCTCTTGCTAAGGTTACAGTGCCACGTTGTATGGAATACAAACAATTTCTGAATGACTCACAGCTCTATGGAGACAAGAGCTGGAGCCTTCTGAGAGTTCAGGATGTCTCCCTTTACTGTGGCCCATTCTGGGACACATGACACATTTCCTCCTTTTCCTATTTAGCAGCAATTTTCCATCCATTATTCTCCTAACCCAATCCATCCACAAATGCAGGCATCAATATTGGACACATTCCCTAATGACTTCTATGTCCCCGGACTTCTCCCACTGGACTGAACTTTCTAACTGGTGTGCATAACTGGATGGAGGGGAGAGGGTCCCCCACTGATTCTTTGGTCTTGCAGAAAGTGGACCCAAATGAATGGCTTTACAGGAGGCTCTAGATTTGTTTGAAAGAGTCCTGGACAACAATACACCCCACCACTGGCAATCCCCTTCTCTTTAGAACAAACTAGCCTGTATAAAGAGGCTCAGATGCTTGTGAGCTAAGCTGAGGATGTGTTTATAAATGAAAGATAAATTGATGGTTTCAATGTACTTTTTCACTGAAACTTACTGTTTAAAAAAAAAACCCGCTATGTCAGCACATACTGTACTGCTGCTTTCCTCACCTTCTGAATTGTCACTGAAAATTCATAATGACAGTTGCACAAGTTAGTACAAAAAGACAATGCATCATAAAGAAGTTTACATTTGTTCTAAGGCTTTATAAAAAAAGATCCCTCAAATGTTACATTTCATTGCCGATTTCTTTTTAATTCTTTCTTCACGTCTGCTTCTTGTTTGATCTATAGTGGTTTTTAATGTTTTGATTGTAGTAACTAAAACTAAGCAGTGCCAGACAGAATTATTCCAGCTTATCCCTTAAAAGTACTAAAGATTGGTCAGTGTTACCAGTTGGTAGCTTTAAAGCATAGTTCCTGATATGAATATTTTTAATCACAGAGATCCAAACACTAGATTTAGGAGGCTCTGTCTTCCAAATTCATGCAGAGTGGTCAGTGGAATTGAATTATAATTCTTTAGTTTGTACTGAAGGTTTCAGAACATCACAATATAATCAGCCATTTGAAACTTGGTTAACGAAGTAGGACATCAAGTATGCAATAATTATAACACTAGGACACTTCTGATTAGTGCAGAAGGTCAAGTGGGAAGAGCTCTTACCATCAACAATGATTATTTTTAAAAACATTTTGCACTCATGGCAAGCATGTGTTCAACATAATTCTTTAAGTATTGGGTTTAGAGCTGACATGTTTTATGATTTGTTTGTCTGTTAAACTTGCTAAACCCAAGTCTATGGTTCCCACCAGGGTTCTGTTGGAGTGCCTGGTGTTCCAGGAATAGATGGACATATGGTGAGTTCAATATGAAACTTTTTCGCCTTCTTTTTCAGTGCTGAAAATGCTATTTACTTGAGTTTCTAAAGCCAGTCAGAGTTTTTCTACATGAAAGAATTGCACTGATATAACCAAAGATGTGATTTTTTAACAGATTTTGTTAACTTGCTGCCAAAGACACTGTGGACACTCTTTTTTTGTTTAAGGGACTTTTTCTGATTTAGCTTAAGGCAACTGGCGACAAGTTTAATTGAAACTGAAACAAGCCACTGTGAAACTGGGCTAAGAGTGTTCACACAGGGGTTTGTTTTAGTTTAACTAAATCAGCTTTTAAAAGACACTCGTATAACTTAAATGGAAATGCCTTATGTAGACAAATCCTCAGTCACTATCTCTCATTAGGAATAATTTTTAATTTCCCAATTCATACAATGAAATTTTAGTTTTCTGAACTCCCAGGGAAAGTCGTGAAATACAACAGGATCAATGATTGGCTATAAAAATACACATAAATTAGGTAAGCAAAGATAGCTAGACAAAGATTCTGTTCAAAATGATAACACTATTGTTGCAAAAATAGATGTTGAGGTAAATACGTACAATGTTATTGTTAGTTTTAAATTGAAGTTTGTGTTGGAGGGTTTATTTTGGGTTTGCATTTTATATATCACCAAATATTGCAGTCCCCAGTCATTTATGTTATTCAGACAAAATTTCCATTGAAGTATGTGGGAGTTTTGCTTGAATAAAGAGTAAATAAAGATTGTGGGATCTGGCCCTTAAATGGAAAGAACGAGATAAAGCTTTTAAGCTGAAACGAATACAGTCCTGTTGGTATTATGAGAACATGTAGTTTTAAAGTCTCCTTACAATTAAATTAAGACAACAAATAGCCTTAAATTACTATGTACATAGGGAAAAAAAGACAACCTTATAGCTTTTTGTTGGGCCAGTCCTGCAGAGAGCAATTTTACTCCCATGAGTACTTCCGTTCAAGATAATGGGACTTCTCATGTGAGTAAATTGACTCATGCTTCAGTTTTTTGAGGGTCAGGCCCCCAGTGAGCTATGCCCTCCACCTGCGAGACACCTATGAAATCTGAACCTAGAAACAAGCTTCTTCTTTCACTGATACACAAGACACGGCTGTATTTGGCTCTTTCTATAGATCATGCCAAGTTCTGCAGCTAGGTTCAGGGAGAGATAAATGGAAGTTTGTCAGATGGATGTGTATAACTTTACACAATGTATCTACAAAAAAAGAAAAATACAAAAGATTTTTTGCAATTTCTTTTTTCTTTCTCATGGCTTAATGCCTTTCTATAAAGGACCATGTCTTCTCTGCTGTTTTTACAGTGCCTGGCTCATTGTTGTGCTACTAGTAATAAATAATGAATAAGAAAATGGATTAGAAATGTAGGGGGAACATAAACTTCGATTCACTGTGGAAAAATGCAAACTAATCCATCTGGGAGGAAAATAATCCCCAAAACAATTATTCAGTTGGGACGGGAGGAGGGATTTATCTTTGGTCACTAGTGAAATCAATTTGGTAGTCCTAATCTTTTAGTTCCATCACCAAACTGACTCACAGTTCAGCATGACTGATGGTCTCTGCTTACAAGAGAGGCCTCTGACTAAAACAGCAGGGGTGTTTCACATCAGCACTAAGGTCTGTTGGCTGTGCTGGGTGGGGAAGTTTACATAATATGCCTGGCCCAGCTCTAGACAGTACTATGCATCTGTTTTTCTCATGAACACTTACTTTCCTACCAAACTTCAAAAACACTTGCAGGGAATACCAAAAGGGAAAAAAAATATAATTGATTCACTGTGTTCGGATGACAAACCATTGTATATAAAGATGGTGATATGCATACAAAAAAAACCTTAAAGCATAACTCCAAAGTGTTTGATCGTTTATTTTGAATTGAGTTTTTCTTAACAAAAAAAATGTACAGCATTTAACATTATAATTTGCAGTTCTGGATCTGTATAATTTGATTATAATAGTTAACATTTAATAGTCATTTCATTTTATTGCTAGTAAAACATGAACCTAATTTTGCCATAATATCCGAGGAAGACAAAAAAAAAATAGCGTTGTCTGTTGTAAGACAGCAAAGGAGAAAATATTTTGGAATCAGCATATGTGAGATCTAAGATATGTTAAAATATCACCAGCCAAATTTTTCATGGGGTCTCAGATTTTGCATCTGCTTTTTTGTGACTGTACTTAGTTGAGAGAACGATTCTGCAGGCACAATCACTTATGGGCAAAAACAGTAGAGTGTAGACGCTAATTACCAGTGCATTATTTGTATGTTCAAATCGGGTTTGTGACCATGTAGTCTACCTCCTAAACGTTATCTGGTGTGTCCACCAAAGTGTGGGTGCAAAATTAGTAACATCATCTTTGAAAACTTGGCCTACTTACTTGTAAAGGAAGGACAAGATTAATTCCAGGCAAATTGAACTATATTGGATTGATGATTCACTTCTTATAAAAAAGATTATTTTTAGGGGCTTGAGGACACAAATTTACTCAAGCAAATAGTTTTTACTCACATGAGTAGATGCATTGATTTCAATTGGACTACTCATACGAGTTAGGATTTGCCGGATTGTGGTCAATATTTTTTTTTAAGATAATACATTGGAAAGACCAATGTGGACTTTCACTGCGGGTACGAATAAATGATTCTATGGTCTCACAATTTGTACATCTACCTTCTGAAAGATACGTATACGGCATGGTATTCATACTTTACAAAGGAAAAAATAAATATGGAGTTTCCATAGGAAAAAAAGGAAAAAATGTTACAGCTCTTTATATGCTACTCATCAAATTTAAATTGTGCTTCAAAGATAGAACCTAACAGTTTCTGTTTATAGTTTTATGTTCTGATTTCCTTCAGTAGTTGTGGCATTTTCAAACATTTTCCTCTGTATAACTTGAAGACACTTTTAAATGGTTATACATTTCCTATAAAGGCGTCATCACATTTTCATTCAGGTTGAACGCTTTACTTTTGGCCTGGAAGAAAGAATGTGCACATTACTAAACTAAGAAACTAAATCCTAGAGCAAAGCTATAGAGATCTAAAATAAAAATGTAGACAAAATTCTTTTCATTATACTACAGTTGTTTTTCACAGCCCTTGACGACATGTAATATTTTATTGTGAAAGAAAATGAATTACTTTAATGTAGCACAAATGTGACAAAGGTGGCATGCTGCAATTCCTTTCAGTAAATGACTAATAAATTCCATTTGTTTGCGAATAAATGAAAAAAAAATATTGAAAAGCTAAATTAAAATAACATTGTATAATATATGAAGAGGCGTATAATATACTGTACAATACACCATGCAGTATAAGGTTTGTTCCTGCCAGTGAGCTGTGCAAGTGGATCCCTGTGCTCAGATTTTGGTGCCAAAAGATTAAATCTTTCAGATAGCATGCAAACCCATATTTTATGCAGGAGATACTGTTGAAAAAGACTGGAATAATAACTTCAGTGTCTGGCTTAATTTTTCCATTGTCCATTGTAGGCTTCTCTTCCTCTGTAGTCTCAAACTAGAGATAGACTCCTTTGAGAAATGAATGTTTATGCTGAAGAAGCTAGTCTTCATGAATTAAAGTTAGAGTTTGTTGTGGGATGCTGGCTGGTGATTCTGGCAGCGTTCTTATGGATTTACTGTGATTTGCAGAATATTGAACCAGGCTCAAATATGTGATGCAAATCATCTCCCTTGAAGACATATGGGTAAAAGGTTTAGAAAAGCCTTAGAGCCATGATAGCCTTTTAATGAGTGAACTCCCTCCGTCTAATGATGTATTGGACTAGAATGCAAGGGGCATTGACGGGGTTAATATTTTCTTTCTTAGGATCCAATTCAGGAAAGTATCTCTGTTCAGGAAAGCACTTAAGCATGTACTTAATTTTAAGCATGCACTTAAGGCCCGCTGACTTAAAGTTAAGCATGTGCTCAAATGCTTTCCTCAGTTTTACTCCCCCTTCAGAAATAATCACTCACCTTGAGGAAATTTTGTAAGGTTGCCGTTAGCCGTAGCAACACCCCCAGCAACTGAAAGTCCGCAGTGAAGTTACTTTTTCTTTTAATGCGAGCCGTTTAATGTGCAGCGAAGCAATCTCAGTCATAGAAGGTTTTTCTATATTCTTCCTTTTTTTCTTCATCCGTCCTTTAATTGGAATAGTGGAATATGGAAAACGGATACTGCTTATGACCAATAGGTCCGGCCCGGGCTACATAGCAATGTAGACAGGCACAACAGCTCTTGGAGCAGTGAGAGGATGTAGCTCTGATCAGGGCCTTCTCTTCCTTTTCACAAAACACAGTGGGCACCCTGTGCCACTGGTGCTCTCCTGGCTAGTCCAGAGAGATAGCGGGGCTCTAACCCCACTCCGGCCTTCTCTTCCTTTTCACAAAACACAGTGGGCACCCTGTGCCACTGGTGCTCTCCTGGCTAGTCCAGAGAGATAGCGGGGCTCTAACCCCACTCCTCTCCACCCGCTTTGCAGAATCAAGCGCTCACAGTAGCACAAGCCTGCCCCATCGGCGTGCACTGGGAACACAAGGTGCAGGATTGTGCCTGGCCTATGTGGGGACTCAAGGGAAAGTAGAAGAGTTCTTGCACTTACACAGTGTATCCCTGTATCACTAATATTAAACTGGCTACAAAAGGATTCTTGAAAAGTTTAGATAGTACAAGGATATGACTCAAATCAGTTATTCCTTATGTGGGCTTTACTCAGGCAGAACTCCTGTTGTCTCCAACAAGTCAGAAGGACTTTTGAAGTCAATGGGAGTTTTGTCTCAGTAAGGACTGCAGTATATTTGGCCTGAAGGAATTCACTTTCCCATGAGCGAATTGGAGATTTACTTGAGCTGTGTAATTCTCATTAGCTTTAAATGGGACTTTCTTACAGTACATAAATCCTCCCCTCTTCACCGCCTACATATGTTAGACCCCTATTTTTATTTATACATT